CGCGTCTCTCCTTCTCTCTCTCTCTCTCTCTCTCTCTCTCTCTCTTTCTCTCACGTGAGAGAATCGTTCTCGCCGCGACGCCGATATCAGCGTATGCCATAACCCCACGACGAGTCGTGCACAGGCGGCTTCCTGACTTCACGGCTGTGGAAGACGCGACGATGAAATACGGTCGAGCGTGAATTGCCGCGGTGAGAAAGAAGGAGACAGGAAGAGAGAGAAAAAGTACATAAAGATCTTTTTTCTTTTTTTTCTTACCACCGTTCGTTCGGTGCAGTTTCGACCGCTCGCTCGTTCGCTCTCGCTGTCTCGCTCGCGCACGCACACATCAAGTGAGTGTATTTTTGTTCGTTTTCCGCCGAGCACGAGAACGTTCTCTTTCTCTTTCTCTCACACTCCATCTCTCTCCCTCTCTCATTCTTTTCCTCGCTCCCCCTCCCCTCTCCTTCCTCGTTCTACTGTCGTGCATCGCGTTGTATTTGTCAGTGTATATCAGGTTTGTACGTTGCCCCAATTTTTTTATTTCATTCCGTTTTATGCCTCTTTTATTCTCCCTTCCCCAGCGTTCGCTTCTTCGTTTTATTCGACGTCGCCTATCGATCAGCGATATCGCCGCGATTTTCGTCAGTCCTATCGTTCTGTGACGGAACGTTTATTATGCCGAGACGGCAATACCATATTGCGTTTGGACGCGAGGAAGCCGCGAGTATTGTTTCGCTCGCGTCGGCGATTCCGCGGTCTGTCACAGTTTCGGTAAAAGTTGGGCACCGCCGAGCGTGATAGCACCTCTCTCTTTCTCTCGGCACACCGTGCCGCTTTGGTTTTAACCCTTTCGCTACGGAAGGTGCCGCTCTACTATCGAGTCTCGTCCGTTTCTCGCTCGCTCGCTGGTCGTATGAAAATCCGTTACGACTCGCGCCGAAAATTTCGATCGCATGTCTATGTATGTGTATTGTATATGCGTTCACGATATGATTCATTGTCAAATAATAATCGGACAAAGCGGAATGATTTGCGACAATTTTTCGCGAATATACAAATGGCGCGAGGCAACATTGTCGATCGTTGTGCATTTATGCGACACTAGAAAGAGAACAGCCGCATTCCGGTTGCAGCCGAGGTGCGCTTCTCTCGCGCCTCGCTTCGCGTCGTACAGCGCTTTTCATTCGTTCCCGTTGCCCGCGGCAGGCCTAATAACGCCCTGTTCTCTTCTCCCACCCGTACGCTTCTCTCTGAGAAACTTCGACATTTCATTCATGACTCTTTCATGGAAATTATTACGTTCGCCTATTGGAATTTTATAGCAGCGAGATTATACAAAAGTGTAACGAAAAATGATGGATATTTCTATCTGTGATAATGTGTAGGAAATTAAAGGATTAATGAGTCAATTGGGTATTCGAAAAAGATTTGTCGTAAGACTAAGTAACTACTCGCGATATGCAGATTAAATGATAGTAAACGAAGAATTCTAAGTTCGGCTCTGTTAATTTTTTCTATAGATGTTTCAATTGTGCGACTTCTATTGTAAAATTTTTCACAAAAGATAACAAATCGATCGAGGAAATTAATATACCATATCCAAATTCTGAGGTTCCTTTTTATGTTATCTACATATTTTTATATAAATGTATCTACTTCTTCTCATTTTTCGTTAGCGTTTCTCGTGCTCGGTAGATTTGTGGCTGCTTAATATCAGAATAATACGATATATATGTAAGTTTAAGGTCGATATAAAAATGTGGCCAGATGTTACAAGCTGGGATATATTCCGAGGGGGAGAAGTTATGGCGATTATGAGAAATTGAACCATAAGCGTATAGCTTTTCCCCTTTGGCGTGTGTCACTTCAACGAAGAGAATTGATAGATTCTCGCTCTACGTTATATATAAAGAAAGAAATTTGAAAATACGAGAAAGCATCCGGATTATAAAGTTTCTTTTTTTAATTGTTTCAGACAGCAAGAGCTTGGGTTTACCATGGGCACGTTACTGGCTATAAAAGAGATCGTACAATATTCTCCTAAGTCTGAAATGGGGACGAAGAGTCCTTCAGCGTAGACATGGACTACGATCTGTTTGGTGAAGATGTCAGTGGCTCGATGCTCGAGGCTCTTCCTGATCTCGGAGGGAACGATCACTTCGATCCTGCGTCTGCGAATAATTCCGTAGCGGTGTCCAGAGACGGTCTGAATTCTGGCCCTAATGGAGGAGGGAGTTACATTAATCAATCCTATAACATTTCTCAAGAATCTCCAATACAAAAATTAACCTCATTCGGCGGATCTGAATTTGGTGGCTCGAATCAATTGCAAAATCCGTCGCAGCGCAGCATGTTCAACCAAAATCTCGGTACGTTCGATAATAGCGCTACACCTCAGCGTGCTATGGTGCCGGGCGCGTTTCAAAATCAGGCTCGCAATATCGCGCCGCAACAGCACAGGGGGCCTCATCCGGGTAGCGGTGGTCAGTATCCTAGCTACAATGACAATATGTATTCTATGGAGCAGCAACACTCGATGGCTAGAGCCAACATTAGTATGGATCCTAGCCAGCAAGGTTGGCCAGGTAACGGAAGTGGTTACCCACAGATGCAGAGGCATTACAATCAGATGGCTCCACAGCCTGCCGCGTACAGGCAACACATGCCGCCACAGTATTCTCATCAGCAGGACCAAGCTGGTGTTATCAATCAAAAGATGCAACAACAACAGCAACAACAGCAGCATTTTGGTCAACAAGGGATGATAGGCAATATGGGAGTTCTTCATCAGTCGATGCAGCCCGGCGCGACTGGCGGTGTTTATCAGCATATGGTTGGACAACAGCAACATTATCAGCAGGGCAATTCGGTAGCGGCGATGTATCAGGCATCTCCCGGCTATCCCAATTTTGCTTCAGCGATTCATCAGCAACAACAGGCTCAGCAACCGCCTCAGGCGAGAATGCCGCATCATCATCCGGCTCATCCGACTCATCAACCGCATCCATCTCATCCTCAACAGTATCCTCAGCACACTCCACAGCATCCGAACGCGCAGCAACAACCGACCATGGATCCTCAGTATCCTCATCACGCCACGTCAATGTTCAATCAGCCACAACATTCGGCGCCGGCGCCACAGCAGCAATTCGGTACCGCACCGACGGCTAAGCATTCGACAAGTCCTCAGTATCGCGCTGCGTTTCCACAATTATCACCACAAATGTCACCGCGGCCGCAAATGTCTCCGCGTCCGCCAGCGGTGCAGCAACAGATGTCACCTCGGCCCATCATGTCGCCCGCTAAACCCACCACGCTATCGCCTCATCCTCATGTTCAGCTTCCTCATCAGCAGGGCAATCAGGCTAACACGATGTCGGTGTCACCCTCATGTCCACCGACGTCCCTGCAGATGAATCCGTCATCGCAGCAACAGCAGACTACCCTACAGGCTCTCGAGCAGATGGTGATGCCAGGAGTCACCGTGTCGAGCTCCAGCGTCCCGACTCCGGATCAGTACAATCAGTTCCAAGCACGTCCGCCAATGTCGCAGACACCGAATGTTCTGCCGCAACAATCGACGACGCAGAGTCCGATGCCGGGTCAAGTTACGGGGCCCAGAATGCCGATGCCCGCTCAATGGCAATCACATCCGCAGCAACCACAGCCGCAACCGCAACAGCAGCAGATCAGGCCGAGTATTGGTGTCAGTGAGGAACGAGGTGGCGTAGTGGAGCAGCCTCAGCAAGCGCCGATAGTATCCGAACAGAATACTCCGATGTTCCCCGTCGTTGGACCGGAGACTTCTGTTCATAATGTTGTGGAAACAGCAACAACGACGAGCACAACGACAACGAGAGAACCGACGACAACAGAGAATGTCGTGCAGAACCCGATTGAAACCCCGAAGCAATCAGAACCTGAATCTTCTTTGCATCAGAGTGTCCAGCAGAATCAACAACCAGACGCAACCACGCAACTTGGTCCATCACAAGTGGACACCTCGGCACAAAATAATTCACAGAACAGCCTGCCCTTGGATCATACATCTACTACGGGAAATATGACTACACCGGCGAGTATACCTCCAGTTGAAACGGTGCAATCTCTTCCAGCGTCTAGTACAAGCGGTAATATGGAATGCACAAATGTAACTACGTCATTACAACAACAACAACAACAACAACAGCCGCCACAGCAGCAGCAAACGGTCGCTGCGCCGATGCAAAATACTGTTCCTGCCATTGAGAACGCGAATGTATGCGAGACGAAACCACAAGACCAAAGTATGGAGGTGCATCAATCATCATTGAGCAGTACGACACATCCGCAACAAACTATAGGACAGCAACCACAACATGCTCAACAACAACCTATCAGTTGTCCCTCGCAGCAGCCGATACAGCAGTCGATGCAGCAGCCGGTGCAGCAATCAGTGCAACAGCTTCATATAACTCAACCGCAGTTAGTTCAATCGCAGGCGACGATACCGCCGCCTCAACCGCAATTACAATCGCCGCAACAATCTCAAATTAGTCAATCACAACCTGCTCAAATAAACCAGCAATTACAATCGCAGCAACAAATACCTCAGCCGCAACCACAACCACAACAACAGCTGCAACAAATCGCACCCGCTCAACAATCGCAAATTCCTCAATCTCAACAACCCGTATTGAGTCAAACACAGCCGGTACAATCTCAACAAATTCCATCAACGCCTCAGTCTCAATTGGGACAATCGCAGCCACAGTTGGGACAAGCGCAGCCTCAATTGGGACAACCGCAAGCCCAACTGACACAGTCGACGCCACCACAGTTGGCGCAGCCGGCGGCTCAGCAGGGTCCGACTTGCGTTACGCAGCAAGCACAATCGACAACGACAACGACGACAACGCCACCGCAAACACAGCCATCTCATATGCAATCTCAGCAGGTTGGTATGATACCGCAGGGTACCGCGCTGATACCACCTCAGATACCGCCGCAGATGCAAACACAACCGATTCAAACTCCGACGTCTCAGATACCAAATCAAAACACTCAGGTGCCAACCGGGCATTTAAACGCACAGCAAATACCCGCGGTCAGTCAGACCACTGGTATGGTATTGCCATCGCATCAAGCTACGGTTCCCGTGCCAAATACACAAACATCGCATCAGGTATTATCAATATTATCAAAAAATATTCTAACACATAGAATTTTTTTTTATATATTTATAATAGTTTATACTAAATAAGACACACCTGTAAAATATATTTTACTAAATGATCAGTCAATTGTTTCCGAATAATAGTATCATCCCGGAGGCGACATAATTACCGGTAATACAATGAATATGTACGGCATGCAAACCAATTCTACACCAACCGCGGTTGCAACTGGTGGTTTTGGCACGTCTTGTGCACCACTCACGCATCATCAAGAACGTGCTGCATTGCAACAGCAGTTACAGGAATTATACTGCATGCCGCCAGCTCCAGAAAATCAAGAAAAGATTGTCGCCTTGCAGGAAAAGTTGCAAGCATTACAGCAACATGAAACGAACGATCAATGTAATGGTGGCCCGCAATGTATACTACAGACGCCAATGTTCACAGCTGCTGTAGTTGATAGTCCGCAGGTATGTTGACATTGATAGACTGTAATTTAAAAAGTGTTCAGAAATCTCATACCTTCCATATATCTTCCAAGAAGAAACAAAGCAGATTTTTAAAACAAAATCTTTTTAATTTGTGTAATCATTATAAGTTAGTTGAATATGTACATATAAAAATTTTTAAATCTCAAGTTAATTTGACTAATTTAACTAATTTAACTAAAAGCTATTCATCCTGTAATGTTTGAGACATGATTATATACATAGCAAGCATATGATAAACATATGATAAATATTTTTTTATTATTTTACTTTATCTTTTGAAAATCTTATGAAAATATGTGTTATCTATCAAATATTAAATTACTAAAATAAATTATAAAAATAGGTCTCTAGTACCACTGGACGTGGTCGCAGCAAAGGTACACCAAGAGCAAAAAAAAGTCGTAAGAAAGCCGATAAAGAGGCTTCTGCGCCTACCACTGCTACTCAACAACCCGAGCAGCCTTTGTCAGACAATAAAGTTACTCCAGGCGATAGTAGCAATATAGTAGACAGTGCTGCGGATTCAGAAGATATTAAACCGTCTTCCGGGGATATGGAGGAGGAGTGGACTAAAGGTAGAAAATCGCGATCGCCTCGAAAACCACGCAAACCGAAGGAACCTAAAGAGCCTAAAGAGCCGAAACCTAAGAAAGAACCGAAACCACCCAAAGAACCGAAGTCACCAAAAGTAGCGAGGAAAAGGAATAAGGATAAAGATAAAGATTCCACAAAGCGTAATAGAAAGTGAGTATAATATTTTAGAAGAGAACACACGTTATTTTGTATGTTAGAATCCAACATTATATGTATTGCTACTCTTGTAGAAAAACTACTCAATCTGAGTCTGCTGATGATGAAGTACGCGAAAACGAAGAAAGTGCCGTTTCGGATTCCAGTGCTGTTAAGGATGCCGATACAAAAGTCTGCGAACCGTCCATACAGGGTGATCAAGAACAAGTGGATTCTTCTACCAATGAACCTTTATTATCCGAAGTAAAGGAAGAAGGTAAGGAAAAGACGGAAGATGCTCCGGAGGAGGAAAAGAAAGAGGAAAATTCGGAAGCGACTACTGCAACTGCTGAAAATACGAGTGGTAAGAAGAAATCTGCAGCTAGGAAACGATCGAGCACCGGCAAATCATCTGGAGGAAAAAGTTCCAGAAGTTCTAAGTAAATAATATATTTTTAATATTTTTATATAATCATTTCCTAAAAAAGTAAAATTTATCATATAATAATTAGAATATATGTAATTATTATCAAACTATTATTATTTCACAGAAAACGCAAGAATCGCATTGCTCCTGATTCTGACGGCGAGGAGTTAGCAGCAACACCTCCGCCATCACCGGAGGCTGGCGATGATGTGAATAAACGACGTTCCGCGAGAAACACTCATCGCAAGAAATATGTAGATGATGTGATGTTGCGATTCTCAGATGATGATGTTCCTATGCAAGAAGCTCAGCTCTCGAAAAAGGTGGAGGGTACAAACACTTCGAAACCTGCTGCCACTAAGAAAGAGGGTGGTGAAGGTGGCGAAGTCGGGCCTAACAAACCCAACTTTGTATACATTGTATGTACTTTATTAATAAAGTGACTTACAAAGATTCGTATAACAATATTTATGTTTCGAATTGTGTGTTCTTGTTTTATAGAATACTACGGATGAGGATTCCATGGTTGTGCAACATATTTTATGTTCTCGAATGGGAAAGAGAGAAGTTAAGCCAGTGATACCCAAGATAGAAACGTCTCCAGAAAAAAATGGAGATGCTGATAAAGAGAAATCTTCTGATAACAAAGATGCGACATCTGATGATGCGGTAAAAGAAGAAAATGCAGAAGATGTAGAGAAAGAAGCGAAAACCGAGAATATTAAAAGTGAAGAGAAAAGTGAAACTGATAGTACGAAAAAGGAAGACTCGAAGAAACAAGAAGAATCTTCTACGGATACAAAACCAGCCGAGGTTACCGCCATTGTCGAGACGAAACCACAATTCGTTGAGGTCGAAGAATATTTCGTTAAATATCGGAATTTCTCATATTTGCATTGCGAATGGAGAACGGAAGAAGAGTTATATAAAGGAGACAAGCGAATTCAAGCTAAGCTGAAGAGATTCAAGCAAAAGCAACAACAGAACACAAATATCTTTGAAAATGTACTTAATATTTATTATCTTAACTTGTTGATATAATTAATAACTAAATATTAAAAATTTACAATAAAAATGATAGAAAACTTCGAGTTTACGAAATTCTTTTCTTTCCAGACCGAAGATGATCCTTTCAATCCAGACTTTGTCGAAGTTGATCGAGTCTTGGATGAAGCGACTCACACAGATCCAACTAGCGGAGAAACGGTTCGACACTACTTAGTCAAGTGGCGATCTCTGCAATATGAAGATTCTACCTGGGAACTGGAGGAAGATGTTGATCCTGAAAAAATAGCTCAATTTGTGAAATTCAATAAAGTGCCCCAAAAGAACAATGGAAGGTACATCTTATATAATATTTATATAATTAATTTATTATATATATAATTATATATAATATATATATATATAATATTTATATATAATATATATATAATTAATTATATTAATTTATATATATATTTTATACGAAATTTAAAATTGCCTATTTGAAATCATATATATAATTCTTATGCTATTCCAGCCGAAAAGAAGCCGAATGCTGCAGCTTGGGTGAAATTGGAGGAATCACCAGTTTACAAAAGCAATAACATTTTAAGACCATATCAATTGGAAGGATTGAACTGGCTACTGTTTTCATGGTACAATGGACACAATTGTATTCTTGCTGATGAGATGGGCTTAGGAAAGACGATTCAATCTCTCACATTCGTGGATGCAGTCTATAAATATGGAATTCGTGGACCTTTTTTGATCATAGCTCCATTATCGACTATTCCAAATTGGCAACGAGAATTTGAAAGCTGGACCGATATGAACGTTGTTGTATACCATGGATCGTAAGTATATCGAATTTTATATATATTGTAGGCAAAAACAAATTGTTACTGATATAAATATAAATTACAGTGCAGCGAGTCGTACTATGCTTCAAGAATATGAAGTTTATTATAAGAATGAGAAAGGACAACAAATCAAAGATTTGGTCAAATTCAACGTATTGATAACGACTTTCGAGATTATTATAACGGATTTTAATGAATTGCGCGGATATAATTGGAGGCTCTGTGTCATAGATGAAGCCCACCGATTAAAAAACCGAAATTGCAAGCTTCTTGAAGGTCTCAGGCAACTAAATTTGGAGCATAGAGTACTTCTATCGGGTACACCATTACAAAATAATGTTAACGAGCTGTTTTCCTTATTGAATTTCCTCGAGCCACAACAGTTTTCGAGTAATGAAGCATTTCTAAAGGAATTCGGTAATCTGAGCAGCGAGGGCGAAGTGCACAAGTTGCAACTTCTCTTGAAACCTATGATGCTACGTCGTCTGAAGGAAGACGTCGAGAAATCATTGGCACCGAAAGAAGAAACTGTTGTCGAAGTGGAATTGACGAACATTCAGAAAAAATATTATCGCGGCATTCTCGAAAGAAACTTCTCGTTTCTCGCGAAGGGTACTACATCAGCCAATATTCCGAATCTCATGAATACGATGATGGAATTGAGAAAGTGTTGCATCCATCCATTCCTATTGAATGGTGCAGAAGATCAGATACAGTTGGACTATAAGACTGGTGAGAAAGAAGATTCTGAGGCGTACTATCATGCACTGGTGAACAGTTCTGGTAAGATGGTCCTCATCGACAAATTGCTGCCGAAATTGAAAGCTAGTGGTCACCGTGTCTTGATATTTAGTCAGATGGTAAAATGTCTGGATTTGCTTGAAGATTATCTGCTGTACAAGAAATACCCATATGAGAGAATCGATGGTCGAATTCGTGGAAATCTACGACAAGCTGCCATTGATCGTTATAGTAAACCGGACTCGGATCGATTTGTCTTCTTGCTATGCACAAAAGCGGGTGGACTTGGTATTAATCTAACCGCGGCCGATACTGTTATTATCTATGATAGCGATTGGAACCCGCAGAACGACTTGCAGGCGCAAGCTCGTTGTCATCGAATTGGGCAACAGAAGATGGTTAAAGTATATCGTTTGCTCTGTCGCAATACATATGAGCGAGAAATGTTCGACAAGGCATCCCTGAAGTTGGGACTCGACAAAGCGATCCTGCAGTCTATGAATACTAGCCAAGGCGGCAAAGATCCCAGCAATAAACAACTAACAAAGAAGGAGATAGAAGATCTACTGAAGAAGGGCGCTTATGGCGCTATCATGGATGATGACAATGCCGGCGACAAATTTTGCGAGGAGGATATCGAACAGATACTTGAGCGAAGAACTCAGGTTATCACTATAGAAGCAGAGAAAGGATCGACGTTTTCGAAAGCGAGTTTTGCATGCTCATCGAATCGATCGGATATCAATATAGACGATCCCGATTTTTGGAAGAAATGGGCAAAGAAGGCAGAGATCGATACCACTGAAAAGAAAGAAGAGGATGAATTGGTGATATCCGAGCCTCGGCGAAGAACACAAATTAAGCGTTATGGCCACGATGAGTCGGTAGTTGACATGTCCGAATTAGATAGCTCGGACGAGAACAGCGATGACGACACGAGTATCGGCCTATCCGGGAGAAGCAAGAAACGACGCGACAAGTTTGGCAAGAAGACACGCAAGTTCTATGACGAATACGTTCCGCGTGAAGGCGAGGTAGTATATGGCAGTTGGGCGCGCAGCGAATGTTTCAAGGTCGAGCGTGGACTGCTGACATTTGGCTGGGGTCGTTGGGAAGAAATTTTACAACACAGCCAATTTCGTCGTGGTTGGCGCGAAGTCGACGTTGAGGATTGCGCGCGCGTCATTCTGTTGTATTGTCTACGTTATTATCGCGGGGACGAAAAGATTCGTAGTTTCATCTGGGATCTCATTACACCCATGGAGAATGGCGAGAAGGTCAAGAATGTATCGGTGAACACTGGCGGTAGAAACAGTCGACAGAAGAAAAAGGTCGTGTTCGAGAGGGCAGAGAAACCCGGGGATCGGTCATCAACGGTGGTCCGAGTGATCCCAATCATTGGAGCAACGCTGAGAAATTTGACGGGGACATCTTTCTCGAGAGCAATTACAGAAAGCATCTCAGTCGACACGCCAATAAGTAAATATAAATAAAACTCTAAATTGTGAAAAGTTTGGATAGCATGTTTGATCTTACGTGAAATTTTTTTTATATAATAAATCACTGTCTTTTATTTCAATTATTCACATTTTAAATTTCGGATATTTTCTTTTTTTTTTTAATTAAATCTATCTGTTGGATGCGATAACAGAGTTATTATAAATTCTATAATTTTTCACGTTACAGAGTACTGTTACGCGTACGAATGCTGTATTACATAAAACATGAGATTATCGGCGATCTGGTCCAGCACATCTCCGATGGCGTTCACGTCAGGTGAGTCCGCGTCGCTCTTCTCTTCTCACGCTTTTTCGTACTATAGACTACCATCTATCACGGATTCGTGTATACTCACATATGTGCTTACCACGGAGCTTAGCATAGTTGCATGTTGCGATGTATTTGTTGATATCCTGGGAGCTATACCTGTATGAGGAATGCTCATAGAGCCCGGATCCGCGTTGATCCACGTAGCTCTGCAGAACGACTACCAGTTCGTTTTTTTTACCCTACACTACTAATACGAAAACGTTTTTATTTCCCATCCTGTATGCACGTACAATACGTTAACATATATACACGTGCGTTCGCGAATCGGCTACGAGAGAGAGAGAGAGAAACGGAGAGAGAGAGAGAGAGAAACGCTCTTGCACACTTGGTAAAACGTTCGCAAGGATGTTCAAATCTCTGCAACAAAGTGGTAAGCCATAAGACTCGTTACGCAGTGCACTGTAACCGAAGGGAGATGATCGAAACGTGATTTTAAAATTCTAAGGGAGAAAGAGAGATTTAGCTATATTTTTTGTAATATGTATTCTTCCGAAATTTAGTACAAAAATTCGCTTTTACTAAATTTCCGAAATTTAATTGAAAAAAAATCGTTGCAACGGGAGATCTCCCTTGAAATCTCTTTGTAAATTTAATTAACTAAAACTTCCCTTATAAATTAATAAACACACGCTGGTATCGGCACGCAAGTAAATTGGCAAATTTTTGTAAAATCGAAACCGCCCTGCAGTGCGTTGCCGATAGACCCTCCACAGTTGACGGAACGACCGGCGAAATGGTGGGACTCGACAGCAGATAAATCCTTAATAGTCGGCTGCTACAAACACGGCTATGAGAATTACGACCAGATGAGGACTGACCCCGCGCTTTCTTTCATTACAAGCTGTCCTCCCCCTTTCCAGAACTCTCAGAACAAGAGTACCGCCGAGTGAGTACCTTAGTAATTTTTTTTTCTTTATACTCGTTATTTGTTCATCTCTCTTTCTTCTCTGTTTCTTTTCGTCTTCTTTATGCCCTGCCTAACTGTCCTAACACATATGCCGCTTGCACCGCTTTCTATATACATATATATATATATATATATACATACGTATACGCTTAAACGGTCTTACACAGCTTTTATTTTCAGCAATAGAATGGCGTATATAATGTTCACTTTAGCCTCGCTCTCTAACGTCTTTCGATATCTTCTCCGCGGAAATATTGTCGACGTGCGAGCGTTATGCACGTGCAGCAGAAATTAGGAAGAAAGAAAGTTTGATCGGCACTACGACGATATTGAGAACACGAACGTCATTCTTTTGTGCGTTTAACTTTTCCTGCCAAAGAGATATTTTATTGCAAATACACGAAAGAATCGCGCGCATTAAAATAGATCATCTAACTTCGCTGTCTTTCTATTTATAGCTTACGAAACATCGAGAGAAAGAGCAATAAATTATATCAAGATATCATTCTCTTTTTTTCTAGTTCTCTTTATACTAAGGAATAAAATTTTGACGGAAATATCGCGTAAAATAAATTCAAGGTTTACTATATATGCGTATATACATGATGATTTCGTTTTATTGCAAAAAGAAACAAAATTTATTTGATCTTTATCCTGTGATTACGAAATTTCAGTAGCAGCAGTAGAGACGATAACAGTCTGGAAAATGAGGAGGATGGCGAATCCCCTGGGATGACGAAGGACTCCAAAGATTCCGACAAGTTCAGTCGAGAAACGCCGGCGGATTCTCCCGCAATCTCGAGTAAGGCGGATACGCCGATTCCGGAGGCCAGTGGCAGCCATGATGGAAATGACAGTCTTCTCCCGGATGACGAGAAAACTTGGCCATCCGTGATGGATCTTAATTCACGATTGCGTCGCGTGATAACTTCCTATCAACGAAGCGTTAATAAAAAGGAGGATGTTAAAGTTATTCCGAAGCCTGGGAAGATAGGAATGGAAACCGAAACTCCTCCTATAAATCATACCGGCATGATGCACGAACCGCCCTTGAATATGCAAGGATGGGATTTGCAGCAATTAGCGATGTATCTTTTGGTCAGTATATTTTTTATTCTATTGTATCATTACGTTTGTGACATTTATTTTAAGAAATGTTATATCACTTGCGCCTAACATTGTTTATAGAAGATGGAAAAAAGAGAAAAAATGGAGGCCATAGTGAAGGAACGAGAACGAACTCGTATCGAGGAACAGAAGGCGAAATGGACTCGCCGCGAAGAAAGCGAATTCCTGCGGGTGGTATCTACATATGGCGTCAATTACGATAGGAAGAAAGCCCAGTATGACTGGACCAAATTTAAAAGTATCGCACGATTTGATAAGAAGACGGACAATGATCTCACGGATTATTATATGTCATTTAGAGCAATGTGTAAGAAAGTCTGTAACGCGAAGATGAATGAGGAAGAAGGTGCGTATATTTCCTAAATTTTTTTAAATTTAACTTATAATTTTAATTTATTTATTGTTTAATTATATATAATCACATAATCAGAGAATTGTAATTATTATATATTTATACAATTAATATGTATGTAAATAAGTAATGGGATTTTTTCTTCTTTGTGTTAAGTATTTTACTTAGTTGACGTTGCAGATTTTACAGATGTTCCAGTGGATCAGCTGAGTCCTGCCAAAGCGAGACAGATACTCGATCGTGTCGATCTTCTGAGCAAAATCCGCGAAGAGATACTATCACATCCGCATCTTGAGGAACGACTTTCGTTATGCCAGCCATCGGGAGATACACCAGACTGGTGGCAACCAGGAAAACACGATAAGGAATTGTTACTCGGAGCGGCGAAACATGGTCTCGGACGTACCGACATAACTATACTGAATGATCCGGACTTTTCGTTTCATAAGCTTCTTGCGAGAGGAATGTATGCGAGTACACAGACTCCAAAAGTAATAGACAAGTCCGAAAAGGCGATAAAGATCGAGAGTAGAGAAGATATCTTAAAGTTTGACAAAGACGAGATACTCGTGAAGTTGGAGAAAGGCGAGGGTACTTTAAAAATTGAAAAAGTTGGAGCGAAAAAGGACAAAGATCAAAATACTATTGATAAGAAATCCGAGAACGCGGAGTCCGAAAAGAGCCAGGTAGAATTGACTATCGTCAAAACAGAGGCTAAACCCGAGGAAAAACCTATCGGTAGTTCATTGATAATCACCACTGTCCCAAGAACATCCGACATGGATAATGTCGCTGTAAAGAGCGAGGAAAAAAACGAGCTAGCGATAGAGCCAATTAAATGTGATAGCGTTAAAGCCAATCAAACGGGCATTGTCAAATCGATCGATGAGATGACGGTGAAAGAAGTTGGTTCAGAAAACGCGGAAAATTCTGCTATTGTGGAACTCGAGAAGGAAGATAAGGAAAAAGATGCTAAACACGAAGCTGACTCTACTGAAAAATTGGACGAGTCGCAAGTGAAAGATGCCGTGCCGGAAACAATTGAGAAGAATGAGATGGAAGTTAAGGAAAAGATCGAAAACATCGAGAAAAATTCCGAGACAACCGAGGCTGCTGTCGAAAATGATAATAAAAGCGCAAAGCGGGATATTGCACCGATTAAAGAAGAGATTGAAACGCAGGAAGCAAAGAGCTCAGATATTGCCAAAGAAAAAGCGAAGGCTCCGCAAATCGAGGATAAGTGTAGCGTACAGGCTGCAGAACTCAAAGCCATGTTTCCGGATCTCGAGGTGATACAGCCGTTGTCGCGACTAACGCAGATCGATACATTCGTTTTACGAGACAAACCAGCAGATTATAATAACGAGCCTACGGTGATGCAACTCCTGGCACATGGTTGTACTAATACATCAATAAAGTGGCCTAAGGTAATCTTTTTAATTTTTATTTATTCGTATCTTTTCATATTCATTTTATATACATTAATATAAAAAATAATATAAGATATGATATTTTATTGGATATAAAAAAGAAAGAAATTTGATATATGTTTTAATTTTTTAATACTAAATATATATTTAATATGTTTTATTGTGTATCGAATTCTATCATATTTATTGATTCGATTTTTAGGAACACGCAATCGAAGCTCGTTTAATGCATATTGTGCACGCGATAGAGCATAAGGAATGGCCGGTATCGGTGAATTTCAGTGCCGGTGACGAATTAGAACTTACGCAAAATGAGAAGGAATGTTCAGAAGTGATAACGATCACCACGGACCATGGAGTGTCCAGATCTATAGCGAGCACAAACAACGTCTCTGCTTCGAAGAAACGTAAGAGGCACATCGCTATAGATGTCGAAACAGAGCGAGGTAATTTTAACGAGTTTTTAAATAATAATCATATATTTAATTATTATTATTAATGATTAAATAATTTATTTGCAGCCAAGCTTCACGCACTTCTCAACAGTAGTCATTTGAGTACACCTTCGCCGGCACCTCTTAGCAAACCGGTTGTTCTCTCCGGTTCGACTACTTGGGAAATCAATGACGAGTCTCAGTCCGAGGAATCGCGACGCTCCACGCCAGTGCAGCCACCCCCAGCACACCAGCAAACGCGGACACCGAATATGCCATTCGATCTGAAGTATCCCGTTCCAGGAAAAACGACTGTTATTCCTGGGACATCTAGCACTTTGACTCCCATTGATTTATCCGCTGGGTAAGATATTTGATGAACTATCTAAAGATAAAAAGTAATACGGTATTACGGTAAATATTTTTATGAAAATATTACAATGATATTCATTTTTCAGATATCCAAAATCCAGTTCTGATAGTAACAAGGATATTATGAACGAAGTTCAAGACTTTTCCATGCCAAACAAAAATAAACAAGTCAGCAGCAATAAAGGGAAATTAGACAGTATGTTGGACAAACTCATGAAAAGGAAATCTTGCGTGAGTGCATATTCTAAAGATATTACTGAATACTTTGTAATTTTATGACCAATTAGAACTGTTGAATATTATTTATTTTTTAACAGCCGACGGAGGAACCGGTGGTCGGAAAGGAGAAGAAGCGCAGAAAGCTGGATGAAATAGTATTAGGATTGAGCGCTGCGAAGGAACAACAGAGCAGCCATTATCCCGAACACAGCAAGAAGAATACGATTACGCCTAACGTGACCGTGACTCCGACATCGGCACCAATCGGTCTTCCCAATCCTCCGACGAGTGCCCAAAAACCGTTCTCCATTACCGTTACATCGATTCCGTCTTCGCGAGCTTCAACTTCCTCTACGCCTGTTTTACCGCCGCCATCATTGCATTCGCACAAAGATACTTTCTCCGCTTTGTTGGCTCAGGCTGAACAGCAGAATCGTGAGCTGAAGAAACAGCAACAGCAGCAGCAGCAGCAGCAGCAACAACAGCAACAGCATCAACAGCAGCAGCAACAACAACAGCAACAACAGGCGTTTAATTCGGCGCACCCGTCTTCCTCGAGCAGCAGTCACCGAAAAAGTTACGAGGCGATGATCGCGGACATCAACAAAGTCGCCGAATACTCGTCCAAGATCGGTTCATTTTCACACGAAGCGAAAGTGAATAAATGGCTGGCAGAGCAAAGCGCAATGTCGGAACAATTGAGCGCAGAATATCTGAATGCTCCTCGACGACGTAGACCGCGCGTTGATCCATCTTTATTGGATTGGAAAAAGCTTACCGGTGAGGAGAACGTTGCTGTTATCAATCGATTAACTGGCAAGAAGGTACGCAAATTCGGAGATTTTATGTATAATCTTTAAATTGTGGCAACAGTAAAGTAGTTCTCATTACATTTCGAATTTTGAAATCTAAATCCTTGAAAATTGACATTTTTATTTTACAGGTAACCGGAAGTAAAGCACCTCAATTGAAACGACTCGGGACATGGCTGATGGAAAATCCGATGTTCGACGTTGATCCAAAATGGGCGGAACTCGTAAAGGAGCGCGGCAATCTTCCGCATGATCTACAGAAGAGGCTATCGGGCAACGAACGCAGTAGCGTGAACAAGGGCAAGAGTCCGGGCAGACCACCTATGATGCCCAGCCCCACGAGTCAACAATCGGCGAATCCCGCCAATTTAGCGGCTACATCGATGGCGTCCGGTCTCAACTTCCCGCTCGGCAATCTAAATAATTCTCTTTTGTCAGGGCTGTCGCTCGGCAACTTCGACCCGAAGAATCCGTTGTTAATGCCATTCGGTGGTCTGACAAATCTGGGCGCGCTCGGCGGACTCGGTAATCTCGGCAATTTGGGCAACATGAGTCTAACGAATTCGCTGTTCGCCAATTTAGCCGGACTCGGTCTGCCGTCATTGGCGGGCATGGAAGCGGCATTAAACGCGCAAGCGGCAACCAGCAGTGCGGCAGCAGCGGCCGCGGCAGCTGCAGCTGACGCAAATAACCCGGTTGTTAGTTCAGCGACTGGCAGCAGTAGCGGTAACAAAAATACCGGAGCGAGTTCTTCGTCGAATATGAGTGGCAGCGGTAGCGGAAGTGGCGGAGGTGGCGGCGGCAGTAGCAGCAAATCACGTAGCAGCAAGCTAGATCAATCAACGACTAGTGGGAAATCCTCCGCCAGTGGTCCATCTAGTCTGTCCGCTGTTTCGTCCGCTACGAGCTTGCCGACTCCCTCACCGTTCCCGTTTCTCTTCACGAATCCCAGCCTCCTCTACACGCCGTTAACTCTAAGCGGTTTGAATCCATTTTCCATGCAGTCTGGTGGCGTATCGTCGGCCTACGAGAGTCTTGCCCAATGCGGTCTGCTGAATCCACCGACATCCAGCGCTTCCACTACGGTACGCAAGCCCACATCGTCTAGTTCCTCTAGACAACGTGACAACGTACCAGAGTCTTCAACTTCCTCGTCATCATCATCATCATCGACTACCAAACGGAAGGAACCCGAGAAGAAATCCTCTAGATATCCGATAGATCCAGCTGTGACTTTGCAACAATATACAGATATGGCAGCATTACATAGCGAAGAAAGACGTCGTGTCGAGCAGCAACAGCAACAACAACAGCAGCAACACGAGAAGCGAGAAGCCACGATGACAGAACAAACCGATATTGTAACGGCAGCAGTGGTGGCGGCGGCAGCGGATCTGTCGGAGAAAAAGATGGAACGGAAAAGTAAGGAACAGGAGATGAAAGAGGCTCTAGAACATTTGAGCAGAACCAGCGCCGAACTGGTTACGCGAAACATTGATGACACTCCGAGATCCGAGAAAGCATCGAGTAGAAATCGCAACACAGACGGTAGTCAAAATTCCGATCAGCAACAGCAGCAGCGATCAACACCGTCAGCACCGCCGCCGCTCGAAGTCACTCTGGAACCTATCGCAAAGAAGATGCGTCTCGAAACAGACGCATCCTCAAAATCCTCGGCGTCTAGTAGTGAGGTGCCAATGGTAGAGATTGAGACGGTGACGAGACCATCACCGACAACGCCGATAAAAGCGACGCAGCAATCTATGTCTTCACAAGAAGAGCCATCCAGTATCCCGCTCATCGAAACGAGCACAGCCAAGAAGGAGGTGAACGAGGCGACGACGACGACAGCGACATCAACGTCAACATCGTCGTCGTTGTCATCATCGACATCATCATCAACATCATCATCATCAGCGAATGTGACTTCACCGTCAACGCAGAATCTTAGCACGAAGAGCGACGGTGGTAAGCCTACTCCATTGGAAACAGAGGAGGATGGTAAGGGTAGCACCAAGGCGCCAAAGAAGGCACGTAGCGGCAAACGATTGAGTGTCGAACCACCGCCGGAGCGTAAGAATCTTCGTTCGAGCGCCGGTAGGCAAGCACGAGCGGCTGCGGAACGGCAGGCGCGAATGGAGGGCGAGATGCAACACTCCGAACAACAACAACAGCAGCAGCAGCAGCAGCAGCAGCAGCAAGACAGCCACGTAGGCGGCGAGTGAGTCACGAGGGTTCGTCGAACTGCTGCCACGAAACGATAAACGACGAACCGGAAAAACAAATACCGGATTCGCCCTACGGCGATCCGACGAAAGAACCCCGTGAAAACCGACGTGGTCCACGAGTTCTTTTTCTACTCCTACCGATTTTGACACTGCTCGCACAACGAAGATCTGTATGTAGATAATTTCCTGTTCGACGCTGAGAGAAGCACGGGAGTGTAAGGTGTCGTTTCTAAATGAATCGCGATAATGAAACATGAGTGCATCGAAAAGGGGGCTACAGACATTGGTAGAATCTACCGTAGCTTTCAGTTCGCCTTGAATGACGAGAACACATGTTGAACAGATAGGACTCCCTCCATTTCGTGGGAGATGGGTTGTGTATTGTTGATATTGGCGGACAGTGCGTGACAGTGCACGTTTACTAAATTGAAAGAAAAAAAAAAGAGAAAAATCTCTTTAAATACGAAGGCTGCGATAGTATTTTATCACTCGATTTGTGTAGTAATTAATTTTTAATTGCGTAATTATGATACAATAATAAAGGTATAGTTTTGTTAAATTTATTATCTACTATCTCTTATTGGTTTTGACCAGGGACTGTTTTATATAAAAAAAAATATATATTATAAAATTGTGTATTCGCTATTGCGCATAAAGCAATTTTGCAAGGAATGCGAGATGGAATATAATCGTAATGTAGAGAAGAAATATAATTACAGTAATAACTTAATAAAAAAAAAGAAAATGTAAATATTATATACAATTACGCCTATAGAGACAGTAAGCAATCGTGTACTTGGAAAAAAGAAAATGTATATAACGCAGTGTACTTTTAATTACCTTAGGTGAAACAATAAACAGCTTCTTTTGTTGTTTGCAAATATTAAGAATTTGAATCTTTTATATCAATCCGCAACGCATATGTGAAAAGAGATTATTAAATTAACATAATCTTAAAAATAGAGGAAGGTTATTTATAATCAAAGGCGCAGATTATTTATATTATTTTAAATGAAAGACAAAATCATTAAATGGTTACTTTTATAAAATAATAGTCATATATTTTATGCAAAAAATTTTATAATGATTTGTACAGTTTAAATTTTTTATTGGAAAGTACTTAAAGGTTTGAGAATTTTCTTTTATGTATCTGTAGGCTGTGGCACAACGCGCATGTACGTTTTGCCAGAAGGTACATATATCGTATTGATATCGCTGTAGCATTTCTTAGCTTCCTCATCTGATACGCTTGGATCAATCATCACATCATCTCCTTTCTAAACACAAAAATTGACGTGATGTATCATTAATGAGAGATATATCTTGCTTGATATTTAATTATATAGTAGAAAAATTTATTTCTCTCTGGAAAGTTTTGAAAGCAAGATCTTTTATTTTTTCAAACCTACCTTCCAATTTACAGGAGTCGCCACTTTGTATTTTTCTGTGAGCTGAAGAGATTCGATTGTCCTCAATATTTCGCTGCAAACATTTTACAGTATGTAGAATTTTGAGCGATTTTGTATAAGCGATAAAACATTTTATATATAACATAAATAACTATTCTCACTCGAAATTGCGACCAGTAGTAGCTGGGTATAAAATTGATAGTCGCATCTTCTTATTTGGATCAATAATATACACAGCTCGTGCTGACATAGGTAAGCCGGTCTCTTGGTCTCTCTCTGCGGGATCCAGCATCCCCAATAGTGTGATAAGTTTCCTGGATTTATCCTCTATTATCGGATAAGGAAATTCTTGGCCTGTTAGACTGGCATAACTCTTTATGTCCTAAAATAGAGAGTCTCTTTTAGCATCGATGCAAATCTATGAGAAATTCGATATCAGATATTATCAAATTGAATTCTAAAAAATCAGATATGTTTATCTGTGAGAAAGTCAACAAACCTCTATCCATTTGACGTGAGATTCAACGGAGTTGCAGGATAATGCAATTACTTTCACGCCTAATCTATTGAATTCGGGCATTAGTTTCATGACCTGTGCCAACTCGGTGGTGCAGACTGGTGTGAAGTCATTGGGATGAGAAAACAGAATACCCCATCTATATTTGAATATTTTTTTAGAATCAATAATTTAGTATAGTAGATATATGCCAATGACAATCTACTGTAAACAAATATAAAATAAAAATTCTAATAATTTGTTATATTAAAATTTTAAATTTTAATTCTAATTTAAAAATATGTTACATAAAAACACTTTCGTGTTCAACATTCGCATAATTAATCGCATATCGATATCACATGATTGATAACGGCAAGTAAACAAAGTTTGCAAATGCTCAAGTACTTTCGTTCATCTTGAAATATATTTACGAACGTTACGATACATGATGTGTGTCACGTGTTTATTTAATATACTTAAATAATCCGTTCTTTTACATGTTACGTGGCAATCAAATGGAATTGAAATTTATGTTAACCAATATCATAGGATCCCTTACGAATTGTCCAGCCATTCATGAAATCGGATTGTGCCCATTTGCGTATCCGCTATAAAATCTGGGAATATCTCACCCAATAAAACCATTTTGTCTCAATTGTTCGCGAAATGCGTAATCTTACGATAATAGGAATAGGTTATCGACCTTTGACCCTTCGTCTACGAACGCAATCGGAATAGTGAGCGCTGGAGCAATGTTGCTGGAATGTCGGAGGTATTTTTTCGCGCATGTACACACACTTACACACACACATACACACAAAATCCAGTGAAATTTTTAAGTGAAATTTCACTCATCCTGGTTTTCTGTAAATTTTTTCACGAATCACAGCGCGATCATATATATGAAAAGTGAAATTCTTGAAACACTCCTGAAAAATATCATAGTTAGAAAAGATGTAGTTGAATAATGAATAATTAACCTGCGATTTTATTCTCAAGAAATTGGCAATCTGAAGAAGTTTTTATAGTAGCGATTTTATTTATTTGCTTTAATAAGAAAAATCAGGATTTTTCTTCGATAATTCTTACTTTTGTGATTATATATTTTTGTTTACAATGCTTTTAAAGAATTTTACATTTTTTTTATCTTTTTCTGGGGCTCATGCGAGGTCAACAATGCGGGGGAGCGTCCCATTTGACTATGTTGCAATTGGACACATAGCGACCAATGCCTGGAGATTTTCTACTGGATCAATC